CAATATTTGTTTCAATCGTTTCATTCAATTCACACAAAAAATTCATATATTTTTCATACATTTGTGTCAATAATTGAAATCTCAATAAATCTGTTTTCAAACAATTGTTTTCAGTCTTTAATTCATTGATCTTTGAATACAATTGTCTTCGACTTAAACCACGAAAATCACCACAAATTGATCCCATGTTTTGTTTCACACAAACAATACAAACAACAATGTGTTGACAATAACTGCAAACAAAAAAACTTGAAAACATTGTCACATGTCTTACACTTTCACACAACTTGTGTGACACAAGTCTATGGCATAGACTCTATGCATATAAAACGTCTTTAAACGGATTCAATAATTATTACAGTAATTGAATGGTCGGCGTGGAAAACCAGGTATTTTGTATACTTACTGTATACAAAATACCTGGTTTTCCACGCCGACCATTCAATTGTTTCCCCGAAGATATTGCCATCATATCAACTCATATTATCATCATTACCACAATCGATGCTATCATTTGATCTATTGTCTCATTGTGTTATGAGTTCTGTATTTACTTTTTGAATTACAATTTTATTTAATCTATTGTTTAATTAACAAAAATAATTGTCAATCTTGTGTTAAATCATAAACTTTTTAAACTTAATTAATTTATGTTAATTGTAATTATAGAGGTATTGGCGGTAATTATAGTGCAATCTATCATATAATTTGTAGATATTTATGTTTCTTTCATTTATTTATTCATTTTATAAAATAAATTAAAATTAATTGATTTTTTCAACTGTTTTAATGCTTGTAAAAAGTTGTAAACCATTGGTTATATTCGGCAATCCGTGAGTCCAACGACGACAATATGGGCTTTTCGGGCGATTTTAAATTGCTTCTCATCACCACATCTTTGCGCAACTATAACACAATTAATACACATTCAATACTATCATAATTAACTTTCAATTACTTTTGTAATACACTATATATCATGTATTAATAATCACAAAATAAAAATGTGCAAAAAACTTACATGCTCTTCGAGTAACATTCCATATACATTAGCCATGAGTCGGGACGCGAGTCCGGGCCCGGAGAACACACGAATGGACGACTGGGTGCGGGTCTGACTGACGGGCAGATGGCTATAGACGGCCACAAGAGTGGGCAGGAATGGGAACTTAAACAGGAACTCAGTATAGGAGGGACCG